TCCAAATTAGTGATTTCAAAAATCAAAACACATTGATTGTTAATAACAAAATTCCCTCTTTTTTTCCCATTAGAGGGTCCATATATATAATGAACTACACATTAAATTTGGCCAATAAATTACTTGATTGTAGCTAGCTAGCTGCTTCCATTTTTGCTCCCTGCTTGCAAATTTTAATGCGCGTTAAGCATGCTGCATTTTCCTTTTCTCTTTTTTTTTTTTTGTGTTTTTCACGCTCACATATAGAAGGGACAAAAACATCATGCTAACATCACAAAGGGCGCTCCACATACTAGGAACAAGAAGCTAACAAATTTAACAAGTATAATAATAAAGTGCCCCTATATCCCATGCAGACAGGTCCACATGTTTAAAAGTATGCCTGGCTGGATTCCAGCCCAATCAATAAATTTGTCAGCCTTTATAATGCGCAAAATTGATAGTAAAAATATGTAACGCGATCACTAAGTATAAGACTATACCTATAAGATTAAGTTACAGTGAAGTAAAAATAATTAATTTTACATTTTTAAAACATTATTTGGCAGCACTAAATACTGATGATATATATTGAAAATAATATATATAACGAGAGGAACAGTCTAAACCTTCCTCGAGCGCAATTAAATTTCATAAAATTTAAAATTCAATCCTTATAATTTTTTTCAATTTATAATTTCTTTAGTAAAAAAATAAAATCAAATTAAGCAAAATAAAAGCAGAAAATAACAAGGCAACAAATTAACAGGGTAGTTATTAAGTACTGTAATTTATGCCATGTCGGATTTAAACAGGAAAGGGTAAGACGCGTCGTTATCATGAAGATATAATGTCAGGATATTGCCTCCAACAGTCAACCACCGTTCATGTGCCACGTGTTCTGAAACCCTATCTTCATTCTGCCAAATTCCTTTTTTTATTATAATAATAATCATACATATACAGAAGGTAAAGCTGATTTAATTAAATGCGACCCTTTTTAGTGTATACTGTGTAGCCATAGGGCACTCGTGCTGTCTGCGTTGCGGCTGACCGCTGCCCCCTGCCCCCCCTGCTCTCGTTGACTTTCTTTTCATTCACAAACTGCTTTTAAAATTTCTCTATTTGTCAAGCTCATGATCCACCTTCGAACAATTTTACCGACTTCATCTCTTAATAAAAGTTTCAGGGAAGTAGTTAAAATATTAGAAAAATGTTGTTCATATCGTTTGAAATATTTACAATCCCAAATTCTAAGTTAATTACACTATATATATATATTTATTATATTTACATGTTAATATTCAAGTGTCAAACCTAAAAGATTTGAATCTTAAATGATTCAAATTTTCTTCAATTTGAAATAACCCATCCAAAGAGATTGAGTTTGTGTTTCATCTTAATTTCCACTTATACATATAACCTGATTAAAAAAAAACAAGTGAATGGATTTATTTGTCACAATTTAGATATTTGGTATTAAAATATTAAATAAATATAATAAAATTAAGGTAAGGGCTGATCGAATATGTTGAATATAGATGGTAAGTAGTGCACTATTGGTTAATTAACTGCATATATAATTTATACTAATGAGCCAAGGTCTATGTTTATACAAGTTTTATGATTAAGAAGATGATGGTTTCAGAAGTCAAATATTTTACTTAATGAAACTTAGTTTAAATATATTAAATTATAAAAAATAATAAAAAAACATAATATTATTAAAAAAATAAAATTTAATATCCAACCATAATTGTTAAAAATTTTATAGTTATCTTTGATGCAGTGTCATATTTTTAAAATATTATACAATAATTTCATTATCAATATTTTTCAATTACAAAATTAAGTTATCATTTGATTATACAAATGAATATTCAAAATGATTATTGTTGATAATAATAATTGATAAAATCAATGCTAATTTAAATAACAAATAATCTACTGAACAAAATCAGTTTAAACTTTACCTAGAATGCACAAAATTTTAAAATTTTTTTATCTTACTGGCTAGCGGGGGCTCAAGCCCCATAAGGCTCTGCACTTGGACGATCCCATGCACTTTGCTATCCTCAGCCAGTAATAATTTTAAGATGGCCTCATTACTTTCGTATCCAACTAATATTTATAAAACTTGGATTAATATGAGTTTTATTTTTTAATTAAATTAATAATCCTATATTGTATGGATTTATACAAGTTTTATATAACTTGTGATGGTATGATTTAAGCTTTAGGCCTAATTGTGTACTTATCACCATTTTACTTTTGATTTCGGTTGATTTTGAAAAAACTTAACAAAAAGATAATATTTCACAAAATATTTTATTAATGCAAAAAACAAATTTTATCATTTAACTTTCAAATTTTAAAAGATTTTATCATTTAAATATATTACATAAAAATATATTAATAACGTGTACGTGGAACACATGTAACCATATGGTAATATTAATAAAATGATTTGAGACCTACTATTTAGAGATCACGACTATAAATTTACCTTATTTTCATTATTTTAAAATAAACTTTTAATCATATGTTTTATTTTTTTATGCAAAAAAATCTTAATCCCTATCCTTGATAATGGTCTTTACGATTTATTATTGAATCTTACACATATGAACAATAATGATCAAATGTATCAAAGAAAAAAGCTAACAAAGTAACAGTATTAGATTCTTATAATTTGAAAGGAGTTTGTTTCCCAAACATGATAGTTTTAAACGTCATAAGATTAGAATATTATCATATACTTTATTATTATTTTTTTAACTTTTTATAAACTTCACTAACTTTTAAAAAAATATTCTGAAGAGTGTGTAACAACTCTTTTTATTATATCACAGAATTTTTAAAATTTATCAATGATGCATAAGATAATTTTTTAATTTAAAACACTTATTTTTTCCAAAGACAATTAGATTTTTATTTATTTTTTAAATTGTATAGTATTTTAGAAAAATTTTTTAGAATGGTTGCATATATATTACTCTTTTAATCTTTTTTTTTAGAAAATATTATCCTTTTAATTAAAGTTATTAATATCATATTGGATAACATTTTAATTTTTTATAAAAATATAGTATATACTAATGACAGTTATTTTGATATATTATTTTAAATTTTGATTTAATACAAATATATTTATAAATATGTATGAATTTATACATTATAATACTATTAATAATATACAAAATGAATATGCAATATTTTAAAAATCAAATAAATAAGTTTAAAAGTATAAAAAATGATTTCATAAATTTTTATGATATTTTTAAATATTTAATTTGATCATATGATATTTAAATAAATATTTTTATGTAAATATTAAGATAAAAATAAAGAGATGAAAAAATTAATCAAGACTTTACGATTGTTTAATTTTATAAAACGAGCATAATTACTTTTTTGAAAGATATTGAAATATTTATAAATTTTGGTTCAAAAAAATAAAAGTATAAATTATAAATTTTGGTTCGAAAAAATAAAATATAAGAGAAAATAAATTATAATAAAGAATAAAAAACTTAATTTCAAGAGTTATTTTATCAATTAATTTTATTTTTATTATGTTAAATATAATTAAATAATAAAAATCAATTAAAAATTAAAAAATATATTTTATATTCATGTATTAATTGAAATATGATAATTCATCAAAATTCATCAAAATTAATTAAAATTAAAAAAACAATCAATATTATTTAATTTCAAATTTGATATAAAAATTATTTTTATGTGTATTATATTTTAGTATAACTAAAACTTATCAATTGATACTATTGAGAAAAATAAAATTAACAATTATCATTTCAATCTTAGCAATGCGATTATCATGAATTTGAAAATTTTGTAGACGTACCTTACGCCGCCAGGTCAGATGATGATGGTCCGAAAAAAGACGGCTGAGATATTTGATTGCAGGGATTTGTCTTTGGAAACTGACGGCATCTGAGGCCACCCAATTTTCGACACGTGTTACAATATGCGGATTATCAGCTCTTTTTACCATCATGATTTAGAGACAGAAATCAGAGGTGCTGGGTTTTTTTTAGTGGAAAAAATGGAAGCATCAGAGAATTCGAATCTGACGGCCAAGAAAGTGACTTCTTGATTTGAAAGCTTTACTTTTTGTTGGTTTGAAAACTTTTGAGTATCTGGTGATATCCCCACAAAAACTGGGGTTTGTTGGGTATTTTCTCTAGTATTTGTCCTATGCATTTGTAGTTTTTTTTTTTGTTTTTTTTTTTTTAATTTTGCAAACTTCAAATTTAAAAAAGGTTAGAAGAATTTGGTACGCCTTATTAAAATGAGTTGTTATTTGATTACTTTTATTCAATTCTCCAATGGGTTGATTTAGGTAAATTTTTTAACATTGACACAACGTTAAGATTCTTAATTTCGATGATAAATATTAATTTTTAATGATATCAAATATATAAAAAAATTAGATAAAATTTTGAGGATTGACACCAAAAAGAGTTTTTTTTTTTTTTAATTTTTTGTAAGTGTTTGATTTTTTAAATATTTTTTAGTTTATTAAAATAAGTTATACCAATCATCTTATGATTTGGTCAGGTTCATCAAAAAAATGAATAATCGACATTCAACTCAAAAGTAAATATATATCTTTTAGGTTTAATTTAGTGCTGTTATTGTGATTAAAAAAAATATTGAACTAAAAAAAGTGTATTTAAAAAATTTGCTAAGAAAATTATAGTTAAAAATTTTAAATATTGATGTTATTATAAAAATACTTAGAGCAATTGAAATGTTTAAAAAAATATAAATAAAATAATAAAATATTAAAAATAAAAATATAATGTAATAATTTTCTATTTCAAACACATCATTTTACCACAAAATACCTCTTAAGAAAAATTTTTTTTTTTTAATTTGGATTTGAAAACAAATCTTTTAGAATATAAAGCTACATTTCTTTTATTTAAGATTAAAATTGGATGAGAATCATTTTTAAATACAAAACTACTTTAAACAGTAACGTTATACCGGGCTTAGTGAAAAGAATAAATTCCAATCTCATTTCTAGATATATATAAACATAGATATCATTGCAGTTTCGAGAGCCCAATATCATAGTAGCTATTATAGATTCGAAAACTTAAACCTTAACAGGCTATGAGCCTGGAGGGCTTAAAGAAGGTCCAGGAAACCCAATTATTGGAAGGGCCAACTGATTTAAGCCCAATAGACTACGAGCAAACTTATAGAGGAAGGTTTGGGCTCAACTGACAATTCGTGTTGCAGCAGCCACCGATTAGATAAATGAGGAACGATGAATTTAGGAGAAAAACTGCAAAAGCACCGCAAGGATAGGACAGCTAAGGTTAAATCTCCCCATCCCAAAGTTCTTCCAGGGACTTGAATGGTCCATTAGGTGAGACCATTTCCAGTTTAGGCATTAATCTGTGCTGCTGAATTTCATTGATTTTGTTATAATTGTCGTCCGATAATGCCCAGTCAAATATCTGCAGGTTCTCCTTCATCCTTTCCTTGTTGAAGCTCTTAACCACGAATGTTATCCCCTGCTCAAATGCCCATCTTAGACAAATCTGCCAAAGCTCCAAATAATTGTAATGTTTTAGTCCATTAATACAAATTAAAAAGAACCACGAACAAGGAAAATATTTAAGCATAGAACTGGCATGTTTCTTTTTGGTCGATAAAATTAACATATTGCAGAAGCTACTTGAAAACAAGCAGTAGAACCTGAGCAACAGTCTTATCACGGGCTTTAGCAATCTCCTTCAGTGTTGCATTATCCATAACTTCATCGGTGCCCCAACGGGTCCCTTTTGCTCCCAGAGGAGAGTAAGCAGTTACAACAACATCTTTGGCCTTGCAGAACTCTCTTAGCTTCTGCTGTTGCCAAAGAGGGCTAATCTCCACCTGAACATCGACAAATTATCATCTCCGAATTACTGAATCATTGCTTGTTTATGACAAAGAAAGAGAAAGAAAGAAAGACAATAAGGTACTAAAAGGGAATAAGGACTCACTTGATTTACAGATGGGGGGATGGTAGCAAAGGAGAGTATGTTTTCGAGCTTCTTGCATGAGAAGTTGCTGACTCCAATAGACTTCGTGAGGCCAAACCTCTGGCAATCTTCCATGGCTGCCCACACTGACTTGAAATTCATTGCTAGTTGTTCCTCTTTGGGTACAGGAAATCCAATATTTCCAGGTTTAGCACTTAGAGGCCAGTGAATGAGATAGAGGTCCAGGTATTCCAACTGAAGCATCCTACATATAACCTTCTTATAATTACCAAAAAGATGTAGTATCTGAACTGGTCAAGTACTCCATAATAACAACTAGCAAAAAATAATTGACTGCTGAGTAATTGCAATCTTTCATGTAGTTTTATCAATAAATATGATCGACAAGTAGAAAACCAGATGAGAAAGGTCCATTTCAGCCGTAAACTACATTTCTAAAAGCCAGGGGCGGGGACCTAAAACCCAGAATACGATTAATTAGTTAACATAAAAACAGCAACGGATCTATCTAATTGCAGATTATTGAAGGAATTAACCATGATAGCTCATGATTAGTAGCAGGGTAATTAACCCCTGTGCAACAATCTCATTCAATTACTCGCTTCTCCCCCTTTTTTGGTTTTTATTTTTTTTTTCCAATTTACCAATTTTATGCATGAGACACAAAAACTAAATTCACGGCATTCACGGCGGTCGAGCTTTATACCCTTGAATTTGATGCGCGACAAATACGATCATACTCTTTGATTAAGGGAATCAAAGAAAAAACATGTTACCTTAGAGAATTCTTGAGAGCATGAACAACAAGATCAGCATGAGCATCAGTGCACCAAAGCTTGGAAGTGATGAATAGTTCTTCCCGAGATGCGATCAGCCCAAGTTTAAGTGCTTCTGCTAAAGCTTCTCCCAAGGGCTTCTCGGACCTGTACAGCGAGGCAGTGTCAAAGTGCCTATAACCAACCCTGATAGCCTCCAGGACTGCCTCTTTCAAAACCGTTTCATCAAAGGGGTCTGCCATAGTGCCCATGCCTATCACAGGCACGTTCCGGCCACCAGAGGAGGAGCTCAATTTCACCTCCGGGATGTTGAATGCGAGCACTTGGGGAACATAGGCCATTTCGTATGATACTGGGAACTGGTACTGCAATAATAATGTTGTTTAATTCAATCTTGGGCCGTTGTTTATACATACGAATCCCATCTCTTGCAATCTTGCTTTTCACCTTTTAGTTGGTTTTGGTGGGGCACCGAAAGGCAAGGACTCGAGGAGAATTACTGAATTTTATTCTTGGAGATACAGTGTAATAGTCACAATGAGGTAATCTGAGGTTATGGTTCAATCATATCTTATATGAAAATTACAAGTTCATTGCTGATAAAGATTAAGAAAATTAAAATCAAAATTTATTTCATATAATCATTTTTAAAAAAATATTTAATAAATTTGAGATATAAATTTTAATATTTTAAAATTTTTTCTTATCTCTAAGTTACCGTTTCTTTGAAAAAAAAGAAAAAGAAAAAGAAAAAGAAAAAAAAAGTCAGCAGCTGCTAGGCAATTACAGGTCGTATTCCAATGAAGCGTGATTATTGAAAGTCCACAATCATACAAGTCAGTGTTAAAGCACATGATTTATACCATTAACTCTAGTCTAGTGGCCCATTATTTCCGTCTGAAGAAGATTTGGATGGGAGCAATGCTAGTTTCTGAAGACATATTCATAATTCAATATAACAATCGGGTAGTGTTATTCTTTACTATAATTTTTCAACTCAAAAATTTCCTTCACCATCCGCCTTGTTCCTTCTTGCATGTAGAATTCTTCAAGGAACTCAGAGTAACGATATTCCCGATACAACGGAGGATGTTGTTCATCAATCAAATCCTGAATGGGACCAATAATAGCATCTCTGCTTGGAGCATAAAACATTGCAACTGATACTCGTTTTTGTGTTTTATTGGTCACGGCCCTGTGGTGCGCACTCTTGTACCTTCCATTACTCAGAACCTACATGCATTCACACCATAAATTTTTTTACTTGTCATAAATAAGCAAAATCTCAGCCGCAGGGCCTGGGATCGAAAATGAAAACAAAGACCCCAAGGAATTTGAGAAGCAAAAGTGTTCTTTTTTTAACTGAGAAGACTACAAAAAAGTTTAATTATTTCCCAGAAATTGTTTATTAGAGTAGGTAATAAATTATATACCTTTTAGTGGTCCTAACTTGTGTCTTTAGGTTTAGATTGTTAGGTGGTAGAAAGTAGAAGGGAAGCCAAGAACTTGGCGATGGCAATAAGAAGACAGAAAATTCGGCGAAGCCAGGTAACTGGGAAAGGGGGCCAAATAGTAAATTTAACGGAGAAGTCGCCAAGTGTGATATTTGGTGGGCTCTTTTCCTGTTTAATAAGCAAGATAGGTTAGCCCCACATAATGGAATAGTGGTTTACTTTTTGATTGTTGGAGCATCACTTTATGCATAGATTAAATAAATATTAAAATCAAAAATCAAAATTCATGAATTAAAATATTTTATTACATAAATTAAATATATAAAATTGAAAAAAATTATAGTAAGTTTTTGCATAATTATTTTTAGTAAACTTGTTAATAAAATTTTTACGTTGAATAAATATAAATTAAATTTAAATTATAAATAATATTTTTAATATTTTTATTTAGTATTGATTTTCATATTAAATTTTATTAATCTATTGATTTGAATTTTTTATTAAATCATATTTATGAAATTCCTTCTACATAAAATGTAAGTTTGTTCTATCAAAATATGGCAAAATTTAAAGGAAATTCCATCATCAGTTCGTGAATAAGTCAAACACTTTTGGAAATTAAATTTTAGAAAAATGTATAAATTTGTATTTAAAAAATAAAAACTATAATTTTCAGTTTAAATTTTTATAAAACATACAATTTACAGCTAAACTTTTAAATTATCTTTCATATTAGCCTAAACTCTAATAATGCCATTCATATCAATTTATATATTTCGTAATTGATAAATATTATCAAATTATGTATTCATTATAGATATTATTAACATCTTTTTTAATAAAAATTTTAAAAAATATATTTATTTTACTTTAACCATAGCAACTTTTTAAGATTGGTCAATTATTATTTGTTTTGTGGTATGTAACAACATGATGATTTTATAAAATATTTAAGACTTTTATTTATCAAAGAACATGTATTTAACAAAGTTATACTGATTAGATATCATATAAGTTAGTTAAATTAATACTATTAAAATTTAGATTAAAATGATACACTATTTAAAAGTTCAAGGTATAAATTGTACTATTTATTTCTTTAAATACCAATTTGTATATTTTTTTTCAAAATTTAGGTACTAAAATGTAATTAACTCTTTAACAAATTTTCTCAGTGCTTCATTTTCACGTGCAATCTAAAACTCATCTTTTTCATTTGTGACTTTTGAATATGTTCCAAATTCATTTATCTATCAATATGCTGTTAGAATTTGGAAGAAACTTGCTATGTATATATCCATTAAAGGGTCCCCTGGCAAATTGAGTTCAAAATCTATCAGTGTATTTATTAATTTACTCCTAAATTTATGAAATATATATTTACTAAAATTTGTGAAACATAAGAATTACCTGAATCTGATCGCCCAGATTGATGACAAATGCATTGGGGATAGGTTCAACTGCTACCCATTCCCCATCTTTGATCACTTGTAGTCCAGTTACTCCTTCTGATTGCCTAACAATTGTGAGTGCATTAAGATCAGTATGAACATTTAGTCCCAATGTAAGTTCAGGGTCTGGACATGGTGGATAGTAGTTTCCCTGGGCTCGAAGAATAGGCTTCTCACAAAGGTTCTTTTCAAGACAATCCTTTTCCAGTCCAAGTCCTTGAGATATCAAGCTCAATAGCCTTTTCATTAGAACACCAATCTCTTTTGCATATTCAACAACAACATCTCTGCAGCCAGTTCCAGATTTACAATTACAAGGAAGCATATAAAGAACTTAGCATGAGTACACGACTATTTATAACAGCTAGCTAGAAGATATATAAACCAGAAGACATACCGGTATTGAGGAGGATTTTGTGGCAAAAGATGGAGGATATCATCCAAGGGATGCCAAGGGTGAGAGAAGCATTCACTCCACATGCAAACCTTGTTTTGGCTTCCATCTTTAATATAGTAATTGAAAAGTTTTACTTGCTTGGTGTGATCCGTTGTAAAGAATGGTGCCTTTTCTTCTGGTGGCAATTCAAAAAAGTCAGCGGTAACAGCCATCATTCTGTCACATATTTCTAGGGGAACTCCATGATTGATGATCTGCAAGAAGCCAAATTCCTCACATGCTTTGGATATTTGATCAACAACTAATGCAGATGACTCCATCAAGTCGATGATTGGAATTGAGGCCAAAGTGGATATCTCAGACAGGTTTGGTCTGTTGTCTTGAGGAAGAATATACTTGGGAGTCAGAGAAAGAGAACTGCTGCCGTTAGCCAACAGGAAGTTTGGGGTTTCCATGGAAAATTTCTGTAACTACTCTGCAAGAATGGTCAACTCTAAACAGAGAGGGCTAAAGATCAAGAAGTGCAATACGCAAGTTGCAGAAAACAACTTAGTGTATCTGCAAACACGTTGTTTTTCCTTTTCCAGCAAAGGATTTATTATCTCCATACACTGCAAGATAAATGTAACCCGTGAAACGCTAGGGGCCAGTCCCCCCAACAACCACATGTCAAAACTCGCGTACATGAAGAGCCACGTTTCCTTTTTTATTGAACTTGAAACCCATTACCTAATATTTAGGTAAACTTCATCATTTTTTGACAGACCTTTCCTTAATTTGGTACCAAAAAAACTTTCATTCTCAGACTAATGCACTCCTGTTCCATGCTTTTTTGTTATTTAAAATAATTTATTAGATGAGTTAAATGTGAATATTTTTTGAATTGAATGAAAAAATGGGTGTTAACAGACCTCATGATCCTATTGCTTGGTGTTGATGGTTTTTTGTCTTGCTGTTTTGCCTTTTTTTTCTCCTTTTTTATTCTTCTGTTGCTTGGGTTGAAGTAAACTTTTGGTTGAAGGAGCTTATTAATTAGGTTATTGAGATTTGTTGTCAAGTAGGGATGAAATTTGCATATTCAGTACTTATTTTACCTAAATGAATAATTATGCTTGAAAGGTGTTTGCCAAAATGTGGCTAAGGAATTTTATTATGTTTTGTCCAAACTTTTTTATCATCCAAAGATGGATTTATGCGTTATTTTGGTAAGTTATTCCATGGTGATTTTATACTTAAAATGAAGAAAAAGACACGATTTGAGGATTTGTAGAGTTATTATAAAAGCTTTCAGAAAGAAAGATTTTGGAGCAAGGCAGGAAAGCAGAGGAGTTGCTTTAAATGGTTAGATTATGACAGTTCAAAAGTTGAATTTTTTTTTTAAAATCTGGTTCTGCATACTAAAAAGAACAAAAAATCAAGATATTGACAAATAAGCAACCCATTATCACAAGTCTTCGCTTTCATGTCTTCATTGAGAGATGACGTGACTCTCCTAGACCACAAATTTCAAAAAATTGGTGCAAGTTGCCACTAGCATACGAGCTCATTAAGTATATTAAATAATTGCGTCAGAGTGCATGTGCCGATGATGCATTATCGATAGTGGAACCATATAAAAAAAGTTAACAATATTTTAATAATATTATTATTGGAGTCCAAAATATTTTCATTTATTTTATGTAACTTTATATAGTTTATACGATAAGTTTCGTCTAGATCTTTAAATTTTAAATATAATTTCACTCAAGTTTATTAATTCGAAAAATAAATATTATATTTCAAAATTTTTAATTAATAAGATATTAAGATTTTTTCATCAATTATCTATTAATTATTTCGTTAAAAGTTTTATTAAAATATTATTTTATCCTTAAAAAATTAATATATTCAAATACTCAAATAAAGTAATTATTTATAATAATAATTTTTTATTTTTTTAAAAAATATAAAATATATTAATAATATATAAAAAAAATTTTTAGGTGCAATATATAAAAATAAAATTTTCAATTATAAATAAGTTAATATGTAAATATGTATAATAAAATGAATATATTGAACATGTAACAATTTTTCTACATGGAACAAATTTCAAAGAAAATAAATATGTAACATATAATAAAAAAAATGTTTGGTAAGAAAAAAAAAGTTTGGTTAAAAGTTTCATATGCTTGAAATTTTTAAATGCAACATATAAAAACAAAATTTACAATTACAAATATGATAATATGTAAATATATGTACAATAAAATGAATATATTAAGAATGTAAAAATTTTAACCAGACCTTTTTTTTATTATATATTACAAGTTCATTTTCTTTGAAATTTGTTCCATGTCCAAAAAATTATTACATGTTCAATATATTCATTTTATTCTACTCATTTACGTATTAGTTTGTTTGTAATTGTAAATTTTGTTTTTACGTATTACATCTAAATTTTTTTTAATATATTATTAATATATTTTATATATTTTAAGAAAAAATAAAAAAATTATTTAGTATAAATAATTACTTTATTTGAGTATTTGGATATATTGATTTTTCAAAGGTAAAATTATCTTTTAATGAGATTTTTAACGAAATAATTAAAAGATAATCAATAAAAAGATTTTAGTATCCTATTAATTGAAAATTTTGAGACGGAGTGTTTATTTTTTAAACTAATGGATCTGAATAAAATTATACTTAAAATTTAAAGACTTGGATGGAATTTACCTTAATTTATATTATTCTTTTCATTTCATAAATACTATCCTTAAATTTTTATGGTCAATTTTTTAACTTTAACTTTAATTATTTTACATATTTCATTAAATTAAATTATATTTTAACAAATGTATACTTGAAATTATTTCATTTAAAGTTTTAAATGAGCATCTTTTTAAAATTTTAATTAATAATATTTATAAATAAAGGAGATTAATTTGAAAACAAATGCTTTGAAAAAGTCAAATTTAAACTTGTGGAACAGAGTTACCATAAAGAAATACTTTGTTAGCCAAAAACTTGAATTAAACCAAGAGGATGGTGAATTGGTTGATTATGATTTTTTGTAATTTAATATTCAATTAGCACAAAAGTCATAAATCAATATTTTTAAACAAATAAACACAACAAATATGAGCACAATAATAATATTGAAAGTAAAAGGATAGAGATAGAGAATCAAATATTGAAATTTATAAAGGTTCGACATTTCTTTGGGCATCTACATCTTTTCTCTTAGCCTTACTTACCAAAGAATCTAATCCACTATATGTTGAATGTTACAACCTAACTCTTCAAAGCCTTATACAATCAACAATTTAATCTTTTAAGGGTTATTCTCCCTCTTAAACTCAGAACCTCACAATACAAGTTTTAAAGTGTTTTACTAACTCAAAGAACTTTCTAAGGTTAGCTATTTGCTAATTTAAAGTACAAATCAAAATTATAAAGGATATTAAGAAAAAAATAAATACAAGATGATTTTTTTGCACTTTTCATACTACAAATGCTTTTTAATGCTTCGAGAAGATGGTAGATGGAAGCAATAAGTTTTTCTTGGCTCTTGATAGCTTGTAATATGGTGGGAGACCTCCTTTTATGCATAGAGAGTGGAAGATAGCTATTGGTTGCATTAAATGTTTAAAGTCTCTGTAAAATTTCAGACAAAAATAACCGTTGGAAGCCTTCTGGGCTTGAGGGGATTAATTCCTTTTTAAAGGAGATTGATTGGATCATGTTTTTCAAAGCCAATTCATGTATAAAATGAGCCACTTGATTGATCGATAAAGGACCTAATGATCCCCTAAACCCAGTGATCGACATTTGGCATATGTGATCGATCCCTTTTAGCCAAAATAAAAATGTTTTGCTTTTGGATAAAAAATAGATCGATCCCTTAATTAGAGGATTGATCATGTCAATTTGAAAACCTAACCAATATATCCCTATAGGGAAATGATCAATTGATTCTTGAAATTTTTGCACAACACAAGTGTCTGGCTAAAAAATCAATCAATCCCTTTGCCTAGAGGATCGATTAGGTCAAGGAAGGGATCGATTTCTTCCTTGGGTGATTGATCCCTTCCACCCCAAAATGCCCAAAACATTTTTTGTTTCATGTGGTGAGTTTTATTTTGGTTCAAAAACATTTTTGATAAGATGAAAGGTTGAAAAAATGTTAATTTGAGATTAAATCAATTCAATTCAAGTTTAACAAATTTTTGTGTTGTCATTTTAAAATACATTGATTAATTCAAGGCTAATGATCTTTCTCTTTTTGATAAGACAAAACCAAATAAAAAAATTTGCTTTGAAAAACATTTTTCCTTTTGAAAACAAGTTCTCCTTAAATTTAAACATGAAAATTTTTTAACAAGCTAAGAAAAAGTATATCCATCCATTTTTTTTTGTTAGCATACGAAGCATAATATCAAGAGCATTAATAAGTAAGGCATTATCACTTTATTCATTAAAGCATAGGCCTAAAAAATTACTCCCCTTATATCAAGTATTTAATCCAAATAATTTTTCTCTCCTTATTAGAATTTCAACAAAATAGTTTTAATTCAAGCAAATAAGCAATATAATCAAATTTCATACCTTCTCTTTTTTTTTGCAAAACCTTTTCCCTTTTGAACAAATATTTCATTTTTATTACTTTCTCACCCTTTTTTGTCATACAAAAAAAATATATAAACAAAGTAATATGGCAATCAATTCAAGGTGACAATTTAATATATCAATTCAAGCTCAATATATCCTCAAATCAAATCAATACCAGATAGCAATACCATAGCAAATCATCAACCATTAGCAACACAAGATACCAAATGCAATATGGTAATGAAATGTGAAGTACCAATGTTTAAAATATAATGTAATTTGTCTTTAAAGAAGTTAAAAACTTTAAAAGATAGATATGTAGGGAAAACATCTATGGCGTGACATCAAGGATAGGTTATGGTGGAGGAGGATAAGGTGGGAAATAATAAGAGTGCTAGTTTATCTTAGTCTTTATTTGACAAATTTTTTCAGTCATGGTATTTTGATTTAGCTTAAAATTTTTAAGCCTTGAGTTCATGTTCCTAACCATGGAGTGCAAGCTATTCATTTGAACCATCATAACTTGTAATGCACCTTAAATATCAAACTATGGATGGAAGGACCTTTTTGAGGAACATCTTGAACATCATGCTCTTTTTCTTTTTGCTTAACCCCAAGTTTATTCTTTTTAACCCACAAACTAATAGCATTATGTGTATAATCTATGCTATGCAATGTATGAATACTAGTAATACTGAATGGGTCATTAAGCATAGTTTTTCTATCACTTTTAATGTTGATACCTAACTTCTTCAAAAAATTATTTATAGAAAACCTATAAACTAAAGTATAATTCTTGTTTTGCACCATTGTCATCATGTCATTAAAGATGAAATGCACAAGATTAGGTCTCTTCTCATGTTTAATCTTGTACATCCACCAATAATCTTATTTTTAATTGTAGAATATTGAGTGCCAAATAGTGTTAAAACATGTGTAACTATGAAATGCAACAAATCATACATAATAATTTTATGGCTTGTGTTGGAATAACTCTCAAATTCTCATTCCCCAAGATGTCTTGAGCTAAATCCAGCATATTGCACATTGTACGTCTATCCTTTTCATCATCTAGCAAAAATGTTTTAGCCAACAATTGCTTATTCACAACAATCTATGTTCCCATCCTAAATGTTTTGAACTTATCAAGATAGTATCTATTGCTACTTTCTTCAATTTCAACACATGTTGCATTGCTATAAAATACCTTAACTAAATTCTTAAATACTAT